CTCTAACTCTCTCGAAAGATTTTTTTCTCTTCATTCCATCCTCTCCCTCTTTAATATACAATATAAATGTATAAGCCATGAAAGAAAAAACAAGTCAAGGAATGGGGGACAAGGTGGGAGACAAAGGTGATATGGATGACAATGATGATAATGATGATCAAGACTTTGTTGCTTTTGATTCATCCTTTATGACAAGGCCAAAACCTCTTTTGATAATAAAAGGTGAGTGGAGATAATGGAGGATGAGTGGGTGCACTTGAATGGATTAGAAAATGGGTCAATGGGGTGTCCTAACAGAACCAAAAAAAAAAAAAAAGGGTCTGCTGCAAAAAAAAAAAACAAGTTTGCTGCTATCTCGAGTCGGGTCAACAAAATTTGCTCTTAAGCCCGACTTCAAACGGGCATATCTCCCTTATCCGGACTCAGTTTTAGGTGATTCTTGAGTCTAAATTAAATCCCCACAAGTCTACTTTTCAATGGTGGTGGCCTCACATCTAAATTCCAATTGTACAAAGAGATATGCCTAATTTAGTGAACGTTGTTCATTTCTTTCTTAACGATTTGATGCTCATCCTTTTCCTAAACCAGTTTTCTTCCATTCCCTACTATTTCCTTCAAATCCAAACTTATAAAGAAGATGTTTTTAAATATTTTTCAAAGAGTTCACCTCCCTTCCATTTATTTCCACTTTGTCCTTACTTGGTTTACTTAAAAGTGCAATATTTTAATCAAATTGGAAGCCTCGGAACATCATAAAAACATTTGGAAAAATATTTTGAAAAGAGGGTTTGAAGGTCTAAAATAGTTTGGCCAAAATGGGGTGTAAGGTTTTTGAGAGAAAATCAAATTCCATTTTTCTTGTTGAGGATTTTGTGAGAAACACCTTTTTGTTATTCATCATAAGGTGATCAAAAGAAAGCGCCCAAGTCTTGCGACCAATCAAAATAGGGTGTCTACAACCTTATAATTTTGCTGAGATTCATATGATGTGTTGGAGTATCTTTATTGGGCTTTGGCTCACCCTATGTGGAAAACAACTTTCAGGTGCTGATGATATGCCTCTGCCAAGGACATAGCTTGGGAGCACTTGGAGCTTAAGGCTTCATTTTTTATTTCTTGATGTAGCTATTTTTGTTTAAGCCTCAGGCTTTACTTGTATTGAGTTTAAAATTAGTTTGTTGTAATCAAGTATCGTCTTGGAAAGTTGTAGCCATGAGGGCATTTCATTATTTGATTTTATTTTCTTTTTACTCTTGTATCCATACCACATGCTATAGATTCAGAATCTAAGATTTGTGAATATATATTGCATATGTCATTTTTTGTAATCATCAAAGAAAAAATGAATAGAAGATATGATATTATTGGTTAATTGTAGCACTGTTATGAAATGAGTTAATGTCATTATTTCGGGGCGTTACATTATTCAATCAAAATAAATTTTGTTATCTCTTCAAAACCAAGAGTGAAACTCTAACCAATAATTACTTAGTCTTTCTTTTATGGCTAATGCTTAGTGATGTAACCCTGACATAATTGAATACTCACTAAAACATAAAAACTAACTCTGCTTCACAAGTTTCATAATAATTTATGACAACGTATGTCATAATACTCAAATTTACTTTAAAAATAACTTTTCAAATTGATTATTAACAAAATAATAATCAATGCAAAAGATTCCTAAATATATTTCCAATTAAATGGAACTACACCACTATTTAAACCATTATGTTTAAATTTCTTTGGGTGCTAATCATTGCTTTGATATTGCAAGAATATTACTACCACAATCTTAAGACAAATTCGTGTTAATTCTATTTTATCTAGAATTGGTTTTGTCTCTTTTTCATTGTTCTAGTTAAATACAGATTTTATATCCTGTTTTATACAGAATCACTACTTTTCCATGTTCTACTTAAATACAGATTTTATATTCTTTATTTTGATTTAATTTTTCATTTTTTGTGTACAGTTATTTGTGAAATATGTTTTGATAGAGAAATATTTATATTTCCAGTACTTGTGTTCGGCCAGATATTATTTTCAAAAATAGCTTGTAGCTCGAAAAAACGAGGCTCAAGTGGCCCGAAATGTGAATTATATTCACTCTTCTCTCTCTTCTCTCTTCATACTCGATATTTCAACAAACAAAGCCACTCGTCTCTCCCCGTTGAATCGCTGATGATCTCTCCCCAGATCCATCTCATCTATTCCCTTCAATCCTCTCATCATCATCTTTCATAAACCTCCTCCCTCTGTACTTATACACTAACGGAGCTGAACGACGAGCGACGACGAAATTACTTGACGAACGACGAGCTCTGTGAAAACTCCTCACCAGCTTTGTTAAAACTCCTTACCAACCAACTCAATGCCTCTCATATGCTAACAACGTTGGAAACTCGTCATTACGTACCAGAAGAAAACGAATCTGAGGTAAACCCAAATTTGACAAAACTAGGGTTTATGTTTTGGTTTCAATTTCTATTCGAATTCGCCGATTGTGACTTTTTGGTTTTTGAATTTTCCATGAATTTGTGTTAGGGTTCCCTTTAATTGTGCGAAAATGTGTTTGGGGCTTATGAATCTATGATTGTTAGGGTTCCCATTTTGTTATTTTGATTCTATTTTTTGAATCTATTTGGGGTTTTGTTTGAACGCTGCAAAATCTGTTGTTTGAACTCTACAAATGAATCTGTTTGTTGAACCCTAACACAGATTACAAACGAACATATTCATAGAATCTATCATTTGACAAAATAGATTCAACAGATTTATTGTGTTTTGTCATTATGGCTTATGAATCTATCATTTTTTCTGTTGGTTGAACTCTTTAAATAGATTGTTAGGATTTTGGCTTATGAATGTTGAACTCTTATGAATGTTGAATGTTGAACTCTTATGAAAGTTGAACTCTTTAAATACTAATCAATTGGAATGCTAGATTTTTGTACAATATCATTCTAGTAACTGACCACCTGCTTGACTGGCTATCACCTCCTAAACATTCATGAAAACTAATACATTGCACAATTACATAGTAAGAACCAAATCAGCAATATTTAGACCATTCAATATCTGTATGTAGGAACAATATTTAGACATGTTGAGTAGTAGTTTATGAGTTATATTCTACACAAATTATTCATATTCCAAAGTTAATTTGATATAAAGAAACTTCACGATCATTGCTGACTTGGTGACCAAACATGTCAGGACATTTGATGTTCTATGCACGAGATAGTATGCAAATAATATGATTTAGTTGACAAATAAGTGGGGTAAACTCTTAAGTTAAAATTGTGGAGGACACTATTCTAAAGTTTTTAGGTTGAATAGGACTAAAACAAATTATTTGGAATGCAATTTTAGCGAACTTAGAAATAAAGGTAAAGATCAAGTAACACTTGAGGAGGGGTAAGTGGTACCCAAGAGTGGTCAATTTCTGATGTTTTGAGTCAATTATTCATAAAGATTGAGGAAAATGTGGCTCATAAAAAGAATTAAAGTTGGTTGGATTGCTATACCTTATAAGGCATTTTGAGAAAAAAATAGATTTTCCTCAATGTCCGACTCAAATTCAATTAAATTTTGAGAATCTCAACCGTTACCAACAATAGGATTGGAGAAACCATCCGTAATGTGATCGAATTGGGCAGGTTGGGTGATTTAGAATTATATGAGGATATGACTTAACATATTGCAAGCTAGGGGAAATGACAATATATCCAACCACATGTAATAGGGAAAATATGTTATATAATGTGATGTTTGCAAAATATGTTATCAAGATTGAACTCTGTTTATGGATCACATCACTATGAATGCATCATTATGGCCCCGTTTGGTAGAGTTGTGGGAAAGTGATTATAGTTTATAACTTAACAGCTTATAGCTTATAACTGTGAACATAAGCTAATTTTTGACTTATAAATTAAGCTTCTCCTCTCCCACTCAAAGAATAAGTTGATTTTTGACTTACAAAAAGCTATAAGTTGTATTGTTAAGCTGAACCAAACACATCAAAATAGCTTAAATTAAGATAAAAGCTGAAATAAGCTGGAAATAAGCCCTACCAAACAGGGCCTATGCATCAGTATGAGGCTTATCCATCAGTATGAGGCAGTTGAATATGTTGGTGTTTTTTATGCAGATAAAAAAATGGCTTCATCTTCTACTAATAATAGGAACATAAGCTTAAAGCCAAGATTGTGTGATTATGGAAAAACAACTTCCATGTATATTGTACGAACCAATGAGAATGAAAATCAAGGATGTGTGTTTTTTGTTTGCCCAACAAAATATGTAAGTATTTGTTATATAAATTAATCTTTTACTTTTTACAAATTTCATTTTTCTGATTTGATTAACTGATTCTTGTGCATTGTAGAGTGCGAACGAACACTGCAATTACTTTAGGTTCGTAGATGATGATGACGACGACGACATTACCTCCACAATCCATTCCAATGCTGGACCTCGGACAAATATAAGAACATAAGAAATTAATGATCTAAGGAGAAGGCTTGGTGAGATGGACAATGCAATTCATGAGCATGATAGAAGGCTTCAAAGGATGGAGAAGATTTTCAAGGCAATGACTTATGTCATTGTATTTTGTGTATTTTTGTACTTTATCATGTAAATGACTCAGTTGTTAGGTTTTGGACCATGTTATGAATGTAATCTATTTTTCTACTTGTTTTGTATTTTGTTGTTGGTGATTAAAAATCTGTTGGTTGCTTAATTAATAGGTGAAAAATCTGTTGGTTACTTATTTAATAGAATTATGTTTGTGGCTTAAAAATCTGTTGGTTACTTAATTAATAGGTGAAAAATCTGTTGGTTGCTTAATTAATAGAATTATGTTGGTTGCTTAAAAATCTTTTGGTTGCTTATGAATGTAGGCTCTGTTATTATATGTGATGGTTACTTAACAGTGTGTATAATATGTATAATTTGCACATTTCTTTGACTTCTATTGAGATGTATATTTGTTATTGAGATGAATATTTCAAGAATCTGTTGGCTTCAATAAGAAGCATACACACAGGTTGAAGGACCTTGAATGAACCTGTTTCTTTCAAGAAATCTGTTGAACCTGTAATTGCTTTCAAGAAATCTGTTGAATCCGTTGAACCTGAAATCTGTTTCAAGAAATCTATTGAAGGATCTTGAATGAACCTGTAATTCACACAGACATAAATAAAAGGGAACAACAACTTCCACCAATTCACAAAGACATGAATAATTCACACAGACATTGTGTTGAACTTGTAATTCACACAGACATAAAGTCAACAGGTTTCTTTCAACAACTTCTACCAATTCCACCAATTTTCAATTCAACAAAGACGTACACACAGGACCTACAATTCACTCAACAAATTCAACAAAGACATACACACAAGACCTACATACACACAGGACATACACACAAAACCTGTAATTCAATTCAACCTAAAATGGGACAGCCACCAATTCCATCAATTTTCAAATGAATCCAAACAATCCGAAGTTTACAAATGAAATTCATGTACAATTAGCACTTCGAAACTAAAAAAAAAAAAATGGGACATTCGGATCCCCATCGATGTTCAAGTCAACAAAATTTGATGATACTGTCGAACTTTGACTGCTAATATTGTTGACCATTCCAGCTTGAGTATGAGATGTGCTTTCAATATCGTCCCCAATTGTGCTAACCGGTACCTGTAAAAATAAAGTAAATATTACAAAAAAAATTCCACAAACATATTCACCAATATAAAATTTAATTTGTCGCAAAAATACATTTAACACGTACCGGTGCATACATACTGTCTTGTGTGGCATCCATACAAGGCAAATAGTAAGGTTGACTTGGAGACACCTAATGATAAAATAGTAACACAAGTTAATTAGTAATTTGAAGCAATAAAATTAAAATCGAAAAAAAAAAAACACGAAACAACCTTCATATTTAACATGTACCGGTTCATACATAGTGTGTTGCACGCCTCCCGTACAAGGAAAGCTTAACTTACGAGGTTCACCTTGACGTACCTTCTGACCCTATAGTACCAGACATTGATGAATACGTTAAGTGTAACAAATTCTGAAATATACATATGTAGTGCAGAATGAAAAATGTACCTGTACCGGATTAGCCTTCTTATTCTTTCCCTTCAACCGATTCACTATTGCATTAACCTTGCTAACTTTCCATTTCATACATGGACGGCCTCTTCGGCGAGCAAACAAAGGACTGAGTACCTTGTGAGTCATGCTTTCTTTTGTAGTATTGATACGAGGTGGATTTTTTGGTGAAGTATGGGAAGGTGGTAAAGTACTACTTGAAGATGGTAAAGTACTAGTACATGGCACATTACTCGCACTACTTGATTGAACTGTTCTCACTTCATTATTGATTTTCATCAACCCAAGTTGAATCACTTTGTGTTTACCATCATCATTGGTAGCAAGTTCTAGGATCTCATCCAACGTGTTGTGATAGTTATCATGCAACTTTGGATGTAGAGAAGAGCCAAAGTTAGTATATGTGGTTGGAATGCATGTGTAGCCACTTTCCAAGTCTTTTCTCCATCTCAAAACAATGTCTTTATTTGGCACCTCATATATGGATCTCTCAATGAGCACACAAACTGAATGGGCACACATAATACCTCTAAACTCAAACAACTAACACATACATTAGAGCTTACATTCAGTTGAATTAAAGTACACAACAAATTCCACTTTCTTCATCCCCTCACCCACAACAACAGCCTCCCTCATATGATAGGTACAAATTGCTCTCTCTTCTTTGATAAGATTTGCATGACAATACACTAGATGCTTCATTTCTAGTTGAACTTCTTTAAATTTTAAATTAGTGTAAGCTGCACAAAATTGCTTCTCGAAACGATACACCGTTAAGTAATCATACAATTTGTTACGAGACTTAAAATCTGATTTTGTCTTCTTCTCTACCTTACTTCACAACGCATTGTCATACTGCTCAACAAATTGCTTTAAGGTTGTCTTGGAGTTCACATATCCATCAAAGAATGCATTCATACTCTCACTTCGTTGTGTAGTTAACATGCCAGCCCAAAATATGTCTTTAATATAGGCAGGAATCCACTTATGTCGCTCACGGTATAATACCCCCAACCACTCGTTATCATTCAAATTGAAATTTTCAATCATTGCTTCCCAGTGTTCCTCAAATTCATCTTTTGTGAATGAATCATAATCTGCATTACTCAAAGCAACCTTTATGGACTCATATTGCGAATATCCTCTCAATTTCTCCGGAATTTTCTTCATAATATGTCATAAACACCAATGATGTCGAGCCTATGGGAAGACAATTTCTATGGCATTTTGTAGCTCTGCACTGGTCAGTTATTATCTCTTTTGGGGAAGCATCCGACATGCAACTTAACCATGCTTTGAATAGCCAAACAAATGTCTTTGTGTTCTCATTACTTAATAACCCGCAACCAAACAAAATTGATTGTCCATGGTGATTAACTCCTACAAATGGAGCAAACAGCATATCATATTTGTTTGTCAAATAGGTTGTGTCAAAAGAGACAACATCCCCAAATGCTTTATAAGCCGCCCTACTCCTTGCATCTACCCAAAACAAGTTTCGCATGCGACCATCTTTATCAAGGTCAATTGCCGAATAGAAGTTCGAATTTTGTTTTTGCATTTTATGAAAATAAAATGTAATTGATTCGGCGTCTCCTACCCCAAGTCTCAATCTTCTAGCATTCTGAACATAATTCCTTGCTTCTTGTTCATCAAACATTAATGCCTCATATCCCCCCGCTTCAACAACTATGGAATGAAAATTCCTAGCAACCCCAATCCCTGCTGCATCGTTAACTTTTAGTCTCCTCTTCACCGGAGTAAGAATCCTCTTATTCATTGGAAAATGCCGTGAGTCAGTCGGAATCAAATCATGAGTGTGCTCAAGCACAACTATGGTTAACTTATATCTTCCATCTTTTTGTAGAGTGGCTCTAACCCTTGCTTTACAATCTATTTTTGATGAAAAAGATGGTTCGAGGGGATTTACTTCTGATCTTTTTGTTCTATTCTGTGCCCGAGTACATTCAATTCCAAAGTACTTTACTTCCCCATCCCTTGTTACATTTTGTGTTCAATAAGCTATAGCAAATCCAAGTTGTTTCGCATATTTTGCGTAAAATGTGTATACTTCTTGCTTTAATATAAAATACATCCCCTTCTTCGGTTCTTCAACTTCACCACTCTCATTAAATTCAACATTGTTATCTTGTTCTTCAACTTCCTCACTCACATTGAATGAATTATTCATTTAATCAATATCCATTGTAGCTTTAAAGTGAAATAGAATAGAATAGACATTAAGAGAGCACAAATTATCATAGGCAGCATGAAAAAAAAAATTTCAGTGAGGTTTAACACAGCAAATAAAAAAAACATTGGCAGGTTCACTACATAATTTTTCACAAAGCAAATAATTTTTCACAGAACATTGAATTATTCATTGAATCAATATTGAAATTATTTAACATAGGAGCATTTCATGAAGTTCAGGAACATTTCATCAATTTTTCATAGAACATTGAATTAAGGAACATTTCTCAGTGCAAATTATTTAATCATGAAGTTCACTACATAATTTTTCATACACAGAACATTGAATTATTCATTGAATTAATTTTGAAATTATTTAACATAGGAACATTTAATGAAGTTCAGGAACATTTCATTAATTTTTCACAGAACATTGAATTAAGGAACATTTCTCAGTGCAAATTATTTAATCATGAAGTTCACTACATAATTTTTCACATAATTGTCATGGATTAATCAATGAGTTATGAGATTTTAAAAACATAGGGTCGAAATTAATCATGGATTTTTCACAAAACAGCAATGTTCGTGGATTAATCATGGATTTTTCACAAAACAACAATATCTGAATTTTTCATAGAACATTTTTCATGGATTAATCATGGATTAATTTTTCACAAAACATTTTTTCATCAACATAATATATTTTTCATCAACAGCAATGTTCCTTAACAGCAGTAGATTTCATCAACATATTTTTAAACTACATTTCATCAAATATTTCCAGGAAAAGATTTTTACAGAGTTCAGTGTGAAACCCTAAATTAAAAACAAAACCAACTAATGGGTCAAGGACCAGGAATCGCAAGCAGCATCAATGATAAGCAACAGAAAATTATCATAAGAAGCATGAATCAAACAACCTCGTCGGTACCTTTTGCACACACAGCGGCAGTGGCAGTGCCTTTTGCACACACAGCGGCAGCGCCCGTCGGCACTAGTAGAAGCGGCAGCAGCCTTGTCGACGGCACCCTTTCGCACTCATAGCCTCGTCGGCGTTCTCTCTCTCACTCTCTCTACTCTGTTCTTGTTTTTCTTTTCTTTTTTTTTTCTTTTTGGAAATCAAAAGGCTCGAATTTAGACATTTCTTTGTACACCCACCCCATTCTTTGTATGCAGGTCATCCCTTACAACAAAACTCAGACATTTCATTTCCAAGGTGGATGAAGAAGATAGCCCAACGCTTAATGCTACTCCAGCCTTGTTAGTTTCTGCAATAACAGTAGCCAGATGTTTTAGCTCGGCAAAAGATCGCTAGCCAGACTCAACTAAGCATTGTCACTAAAGAAGGTATTACCGATCTAACCATTGAAGATGGTGTTGGTGCCATGTAATTGGGCTACTAGTCCATCTTCTATAATCAATTTTTCCATCAATGAAAATTCTATAACTTTTTGCATGCCCAGTGTGTTTTGATATTTCAATCAAGTTTAAATGCACACTTTGTCGAGCTAACCAACTCGGTCAAAGAATTCAAAAAGTTGGTTAATCCTACCAACCCACTTTGCCGAGCTAACCAGATCGGTCAATTTTTTTTAAAAAGTTGGTCAATCCTACCAACCCACTTTGCTAAGCTAACCAGCTCGGTCAAAGATTTCTAAAAAGTTGGTCAATCCTGCCAATCTTTTTTGCCGAGCTAACTATCTCAGTCAAAGAATTTAAAAAGTTGGTCAATCCTGCCAACACACTTTGTCAGGCAAATCAACTCGGTCAAAGATTTTCAAAAAGTTGATCAATCATGCCAACCCACTTTGTCGAGCTAACTAGCTTAGTCAAAGATTTCCAAAGAGTTGGTCAATCCTGCCAACCTACTTTGCTAAACTAACCTGCTCAGTCAAAAATTTCCAAAAAGTTGGTCAATCTTGCCAACCTACTTTGCCGAGCTAACCAATTCGGTTAAAGAATTCAAAGAGTCAGTCAATCCTACCAACCCACTTTGCTGAGCTAACCAATTCGGTTAAAGATTTCTAAAAAAGTTTATCAATCCTACCAACCTACTTTGCCGAGCTAACCAGCTCGATCAAAATTTTTTAAAAAGTTGATCAATCCTGCCAACCTACTTTGCAAAACTAACCAGCTGGGCAAAGATTTTCCAAGAAGTTGGTTAATCCTATCAACCTACTTTGCTGAGCTAACTAGCTCGGTCAAAGATTTTCAAAATGTTGGTCAATCCTGTCGGCCTATTTTGCCAAGCAAATCAGCCGGGCCAAGATTTCCAATTTTAGATTGAAGTAATACAAACTCATAGTGAAATTGCAACACGACAAAGTTTGAAAAGGAAACTGTACTTATTTTATTGATGCCGAGCAAAAATAAAGAAAAATACAGCGCTGAAGCTAAAAATAAAACACCTTGAAGTTAGCTGTGTTCCATGGTCTTAAAATAGCTCGGCCATCCAGATCTTTCATGTGGTAAGCTCATTTTCCTGCTAACCCGACAACTGTGTATGGCCCTTTCTAATTGGGTCCCAATTTGCCATCACCAGGCACCAAAGTGTTTCCCATGACTTTGCGTAGAACCCAATCACCCACCTTGAATTGCCTTGGATTCACTGCATTGTTATACTTTTTGGATAGCTTTTGCTGATATACTGTAATGTGTATCAGATCCTTCTCTCTTCGTTCTTCTGCAAGGTCAAGTTCCAAGGTTATTGCCTCCCTGTTCAAGTCTGGATGAAAACTATCGCTTCTGATGGTGTGAAGGCCGACTCCTACAAGGATGATGGCCTCCATGCCATAAGCTAAGGTGAATGGTGTTTCCTTGGTTGAACGCCTTGGGGTTGTTCGGTAAGCCCATAAAATATGGGGGAGTTCTTCAACCCACTTTCCTTTCACCTTTTCCAGGCTTTTTCTCAAGCCATCCAGGATCACCTTGTTTGATGCTTCGGTCTAACCATTGGCTTGTGGGTAAGCCAGGGTGGAGTTGTAGAACTCAATTTGTGCTTTTCATAGAAGACTCTGAATATCTTCCCATCAAACTAAGTGCCGTTAACTGATATCAAAGCCTTTGGAATTCTAAATCGAGTGATAATGTTTTGCCAGACAAATTTCTTGATGTCTTTCTCTTTGATGGAAGCAAGTGCTTCTACTTCTTCCCACTTTATGAAGTAGTCAGTCACAGCAATGAAAACTTCTTATTGCCCGGCGTGGCTGGGAGTGGTCCCACTATGTCTAGACCTCACATTGCAAAGTGGCAAGAGTATGTCAAAGGTAAGAGTTCTCTCGCCGGTTGGTGGATTTGATGCGCAAACTTCTGGCACTTTTCACACTTCCTAATATACTTCTCTACATCTGCCTACGTGCATGGCCACTAATATCCTTGCGAGATAGCTCGGTAAGCCAATGACCTTTCCATTTAATGACTTCTGTAACTTCCTTCATGAATTTCAAACAAAAAGGCCTCAATCTTGCTAGGGTGCACACACTTCAAGTATGGCCCAGTGAAAGACT